TGCAGTCAAGATATTTACAAAATTTATACATGTGGATCGATTTAGTTCGAATTTGACCATGGAAATATTTTTCGAGATATTTTACTTGGGAGGTGGCTCTGGAGATATTTCAAAACTTCTTTTGAAATGAAGTTGATTCGCATGCAGGATTTGTTTGGTCTAGTTCAGACATGTATTTTTATCATAAACCAAAATATTTTACAAATTTATTTTTATTGGCTAAGATGGTTATTTTTGCGAAGTGCAGTCTTTATACATGGTGGAATTATGTCGTTTAAAGACAAAACCGCATATCGTCGTTCTGCAAAACCTAGTAACGGACATTTTTTGCCTAAAATTGGATTTGCTCACCGAAGTTCTTGGCTCAAGCCTTTACCATTCATTTTGAAATATACTTGCCTGAAATGCCATTTTTGTTTTCAAATATTGCAATAGATTCTTCAAGAAGGTATTGATTAAAAATTCTCCGTTTGTCATAAAACGCGAAAAAACTATTTACGGGATACCAAATCTCATTTTTGCCACAACGGTGATTTAGGCAGTTTTGCAACTGCTCGATGGGCGGTTTTGCAAAGGCATCGACGATATGTATAGTAGGGTGCCCATCGAAAATGTCTAAAGACCTTCGTTGACTCATTTACCAGAACCATTGCGCGCTGTACTTTACATCGACTTGGCAGAATCAATAGGTCTGCACGAATATCGACAAATCCAACTATTCGGCATTTAAAGGAATTTCGTTTCTTTAGCCTACATTGAATTTCTGTATGCCAGCGATTCTCACCCATTTTGTCTTGCTGGTGAAAGCGAATGAAGAAGCAACATTTCTTCAAATTTAAAAACTAAAAATTTCACTACTAAAAAATTTTAAATGTTCTTAAAACTTGCAAAGAAATTTGGAAAAGAAACAGCACTATTTTTGGTTTTAGGAGTAGGGTTGGAGTGTCATTGATAAAATTAGAGTGAGAGAAAGCTTTTCTCGTGATAAAAATATGGAAAGGTAGAACCACTGAGAGATACTTTTAAAATTCTTGACGTTTGCAAGTAATTTCCCCTGCAAACCAAAGTTCCCGAAATCTTAACGAAATCTTTAGGAGTATCTGATTTCTGTAACGATTTTTTTCCGAATCTTCAAAGAAAATTATATGAAGTGGTTGACACGAACTCGTAAAGAAATTTCTGTACGAAAAATAAAGAACATTCTGAAAGAAGTCTGCAAGAAATTCTTCACATAGCAGCATTATTTTCATTTCTTTACCGATTTTCTTCCGAAATTTCGTAAAAGAATGGAAGTGTGCGTAATTTATTTCATTTTGGAAAATTCGGAAAAAAAATCGGATGGGATCTTTCCGAATTCTTTAAAAAATTTTTTCGATTCAGAATACTCTGAAAAAATGGTTTGCAGGGTTGATTTTAAAATTTTAAACACAAACTCACACATACATTCTAATTTCCAATTTATCATCCCAACAAGCATTTCAGTAAATGTTTTTAAAAATAAGTATAATAAGCGTTTTTAATATTAAGCTCATTTAAAGTTATTGAATCACGGCGTTTTCCTACAAAATATAAATTTTCAAATACAAACGGTGGTCCACAAAATATTAGGGCTGCGATATTTTGATCCATTTTGGCTATTTGTCTTTTGTTTATTGTTTTACTATACAAGTCAGGCTGTGTATACAACAAACACTGAATAAATTCATATTTCAAACTTTGTATAAAAATTATGCAAATTTTCACCACAATCTCAAACTTTTTAATCAGGGTCTTTAGAAAAAATTTCGGTAGGCAGTTTTGTAGCCCATTTAATTCTAGTCTAATGAAGTGCAAGTTTCAAGCTGCTATAAAATCCCGTTGATTTTTCGGCATTTTTTTTTTTTTGCTGGCAGTGTCCCCCATATACATAAAAGCAAATTGTTGAACATACTTCGTATGGAAAAAACGTGAAACACCTTCAACCCAAAAAATTCTCAAAAATCAACGAAATTTTTTACCAATTTGAACCTTGTACTTCTTTATACTAGAATTAAATGAGCTACAAAACTACATACCGACCTTTTTTCTGGAAATTCTACTTAAAATGTTTGAAAATTTGCAGAATTTTTATTTTTTTTTGTACAAACTTTGAAATGTAAATATATATGGTGTTTGGTGTATAACCATCCAGACTTTTTTTTGAGCTCATAGTTCTCTATAAACTCGAAAATGCGAATAATGTACATATTTGGAGCTCTTCTTCTGAAAAAATAAAGGATGTTTCGCTACCGTCAAAAATCATAATCAGGGCTATCACGGAATCCATCGCAGAAAATCTACGAATTCGAATGCCGGCCGAATACGAAAAAATTGCTATAACTGAATCCGAGTGAACTCGATATCGTTTGTAAGCTTCGAATGCTGATTCGAAATTAGGTAGTGCAAAAGAAACAACAGACATTTATGTACGCCATTTTGCTCACGCTATCCCATAAGTCGCCATTGCTGAGCGGGCAAAGCACTAGACTGCTAGTTGAGGGATCCGAGTCGTCGGGCAGCGGAGCTTTTTTTTCTTTTTTTATATAATTTTTGTTTATTTTTTAAATAAATTTTATTTTTCAGTTTTAGTTTTATTCTTTTAAAGAGATTTTTTATACCTTTCATGAGCATGAAATGGTATTATAACTTTGGTCCGATGTTTGTAAGTACCAGAACAAAAAGAGATAGACCCATTAAAATGTATACTTATATGATCAGAACGTCGAGCTGAGTTGATTTAACCATGTCCGTCTGTCCGTCTGTCCGTCTGTCTGTCTGTTTGTATGCAATCTAGTCTCTCAGTTTTCGAGATATCCGTATCAAATTTGGTATGTGGGTGTATTTTTATAATGTATTAATCATTTGTCGGAACCGGAAGAATCGGACCACTATAACATATAGCTCCCATACAACTGATTGTTCAGATATGAGATTTTTCGTTATAACTTCTCCATTTATGCAGCTACGAACATGAAATTTTGCAGTACTTGCACCCATTATCAACAGAATACTTACAGTGAAAATTACAAAGATCGGGTCACTATAACCTATAGCCCCCATACAACTGATTGTTCAGATATAAAATTTTTCGTTATAACTCCTCCATTTATATCGCTAGGAAAATTAAATTCCGCACTGTTTTCAATAATTATCAACAGAAAACTTACAGTGAAAATTAAAAAGATCGGGTAACTATAACCTATAGCTCCCATACAACTGATTGTTCAGATATGAGATTTTTCGTTATAATTCATCCATTTATGTAGCTAGGACCATGAAATTTCGCGCCGTTTTCACTCATTATCAACAGAAGACTTACAGTGAAAATAACAAAGATCGGGTCACTATAACCTGCAGACCCCATACAACTGATTGTTCAGATATGAGGTCTTTTATCATAACTCCTCCATTTATGCAGCTAGGAACATGAAATTTCGCACCACTTTCACTCATTATTTACAGAATACTTACAGTGAATATAACAAGGATCGGATGACTACAACATATATCTTCCATACATCTGATTGTTCCGATATGGGATTTTACGGTAAAACTCCTTTATTTGAACAGCTAAAACCGATAAATTTCGTAAGATATTTTATAATTAATAATACAAAGTCTACTGAGAAAATCATCAAAATCTATGCTGTATAAGCTTTATCTCCTATAGCACTGATTGTTCAGATACCAGTTTTTGCCATATATCTCCTTTATGTAGGAAACTAAACCCAATAAATTGTGTTACCGGTTTACATACCGATCACATAGCAGTGAAAATCACTTAGATTGGTGCCATATAAAGTATATCTTCCATACCTCTGATTGTTTAGATGCGATTTTTTATATAAGTATGTAACTCCTCTATCGATGTATGCAGATGTATTCAAAAGCAGTGATCTGTCAAAGTAAAATTTGCAGATGTTCATGAAAGGTATGAAGCCTTCGGCATAGCCGAAGACAGCGCTGCTCTTACTTGTTTTTTATTAATTTTAGTGATATTAAAGAAATAAGGATTCTTTCCTAATAAATTGTTGTTAAACTATTTCCTCGCTTCATAAAAAATATTCATTCATTAAATAGATTCTAGCAGTTGAATTTACGTATGTATGGGGTTGGTATTTAACGTCTACGTTTGCCCAAATATATAGAATTATAACAAATTTGGAGTATAATAAATATTAATTGTTAACAATAATGCGGCTTCTTCCCCATTATTTAGAGGATTCAGTGATTTTAAATTTTGTTCCGACAGCACAAACTCGTCATAGAGTATCTGTACGAATCTTCATTACGAACGGATTCGATGAACGCTCTCTAAGAATTTCGAATTTACGTTCGTAGCCATTCGCATTCTGTGATAGCACATCCGCAGATTTCACGAAAATCGAAGCTACGATGGATTCTGTGATAGCCTTGAATAAATTTAGCAGCGTAAATGCATATAGCAAAATTTAATTTAAAAAAATGAAAACCCTTGCTTAGGGGTGTATGACTAGAAAATAATGTAAAACTGAATGATTTTTTCTTCGGATATGTATAGTTATGAAGGGCATATGTGGTAGATCTGTTTTTAATGTTCTGTTTGCAACAACTTTTTATTTTCACTTTTTCTCCGATAGTAAAACTTTTGGGTTGTTCACACTTGCCTGGTTATCAGGTTATGTCCTTATGTTGTTATACTTTTTATTCAGTTTACAGCAGTAAAATACACCACAAAATAAAATTTTTAACCAGATAACAAAGCAAGTGTGAACAACCTCTTTATTTTGGATAATTTGAGCTATCTAAAAACATATCTAATTGTTAATTTATAACTTTTTCTAAAAGGACGTTACAAAGCCAGAAGGTTCATACCAATACACAGTCCTATTATGTGAATAAAAAGGTACCTATGTATATGCAACCTAATTTTGTCCTTAAGTCGGCATGAGCGATTATCACTATAGACCACAGAAATTTTCGTCATAATACTAGACAATTAATTGAAAGTGAAGCGAATGTATTTTTATTATTGAATATGTTTACAATCTAATATATTTATTTTATATATTTATAAAATTATTACGAATGAATCGCAACAACGCAACTTTTTGCTTTAGCCCTTAAAAGTTGAAATCACGTGAATGTTGCAAAGATTAGCTTTAAGCGCTTGTTTATCATTTCTTAGCCAATTCTGCCGACAGCCAGTCAAGACCTTCATAAAGTCCGTTGCCTTGTGTGGCGCATGCTGCTTGAATGTACCACTGTCAATAAAAATGTTATTAAAGGAAAAAATTTAACACTAATATATTTATTTACTTACGTGACGATTCCGCAGTTGATTAAGTCTTAGTTTGTCGGTTAATTCCGCTGCACTCATTGCGTTTGGTAAGTCTTGCTTATTAGCAAATACAAGCAGTACTGCATCACGTAATTCATCTTCTTGTAGCTTGAATTATAATAACATTATTTGGGTATTTTTTCTCAATTTCGAAATTATACACGGTTGATATACCAACCATATTTTGTAATTCTTTTTCAGCTTCATTTATACGATCTCGGTCGTTTGAGTCTACAACAAAAATCAGACCCTGCGTATTTTGAAAATAGTGGCGCCATAGCGGCCTGATTTTATCCTGGCCACCAACATCCCAAACGGTGAAGCAAATATTTTTATACTCAACAGTCTCTACGTTAAAACCAATAGTTGGAATGGTCGTGACAATCTCTCCGAGCTTTAGTTTATAAAGAATGGTCGTTTTACCAGCCGCATCTAAGCCCACTGGAGGTAAATAAATATGTAAGTGAAAAAGTGTAAGCTTTTAAATTCCGCTAAGCCTAGCATTTCAATGGAAATGTAATCTTTTACAATATAACGAGTTAAATACGCTCTTTATAAAATAACGAAAGGAAATATAACTAAGAAATAAATAAATATACATACATATGTAAAATTCTGACATACCCATCAATATACGCATTTGCTTCTTTCCAAAAAGACGTGTCAGCAAACTCGAAATCGTCAAACCCATTGTAGCAACTTCTCTTTTTTAAATCTTCTTAAACGAAGAATGGAATTGCAATATAAGAAACTCTGACGTTGAAAATTTAATACTTTGCGGCGCTTTCTAACCAATTTCACTAGAAATTAAACATTTATTTTTTATCTTCGCAATGTTGGTGACGTTCTCTCACAAGAAAAATTTCAATATGGCAGCTGTAGAATGACAACTGTGTAAAGAATAGAACGATAATAACTGTCACTTACCAGTAGTATTGCCAACTGAAAAATTTGAGAAAGGAACATTCACAATAGTTTGTTTATGCTTTGAATTAGAAATGGCAAGGCGAATTTATACAAGCTGGAATTTATACTGGCGAATTTAAATTTTCGCCACGCACTTATTGTGGATTATAAAAGGTATAAACAAAGAACGTAAGAACGTCTATGTTTTTTGGTATAAATATGTTTATCAAATTAAGAAAATTAAATTCTCTATTGAATAGCATCAAAATTCATGAAAAAGTTTTCGAGGAATATTGATTTAAAAAAATGCTTAAATTGAATTTTGACCTTTAATAATTTTTATAGTTGTTACAAAAAAAAATAGATATATATATATCGCTACGCTCACATCAATGATCTCTATCGATCCCCGTATGAATTTTTTTAATTTGAGAACTGTAGGTATTCTGCATTTATTCCGCTTTGTTTCCTGACGGATAATTATCACAAATTATCACTAATTTCTGCAAGAAAGCGTTTCAAAAAACTAGCAGAAACTAGCAGCTGTCTAAATAAATAAATAAAAATTCGCGCCAAATATTTTCAGTAGTCAAATACACAGGTTCTGCTAGTTTTGCGTTTCTTTACTATTTCTTTATATCGCTCTCTGTTAGCGTAATTCCCTCAGCCCAAAAACACCAAAAAAATATTTCTCCAACCTTGGAGAAATTCATAGTGCTCAAGTTGATATCCAACATCATTCTCCAACTAATCTCTAACCGACGCGCAGATACGTAAAGTGATATAGAAACAAAAATTTTAATAAGACTGGGTTCTCACAGAGAAACTTTTGTTGCTCAATTTCGGCAACTTATCTTTTGGTGTTGCCCTTCGTGTTCACACAGAACAATTCTTTTGTACACAATTGTTGTTGTCAGCTATGAACGTCCATCTAGAATTACTCAGACGAAAGAGAGCACAAAGCGTGTTGCCGAGCACAAGCAACTCGGTGCCCTCTCCCACAAGTAACGTTACTTGTGGGAGAGGGCACCAAGTTGCCGCGACAAAACTTTCTCTGTCTGAATCTAGACTTGTCAAATGAAAAACGAATGCTATATAAAGAGGAAAATCACCAACAAAAAGTAAATAATCTTCAAAGTATCCTCAAATGATTTTGAAAGAAAATGAAACGCGGAGTGAATCAAGTGGCAAAATTACTGTCGGACTGCATATTGATTAACTACATAATACAAAAGGAGTAACAAAATTAATATTTAAATTCATCTATGTATGTCGTTTCAATCAAAAAGGTATAAGGTATTTTACTATTTCAATTTAAGCATTTCAATGATATGTTTGAGACCAATTGGAGAATTACATTGGAGTTCAAATTGAGAACTAACATTTTCTCAACTTGAGAAACAGTCCTTTTTTCATACAAAGAAAAATGCCCCTTTTGTTGAGAACGTTATGATCCTCCACTTCAGGTACTGTTGAGACACAACGTTAGAGATTTGAGAAATACCTTAGTCCCCTTTCAGTAGCGTCAAGTCTGCTCATTCGTTGGCGAAGGAGGGGGGAAGAGAGGGGAAGAGTACAGATACCTCCGTACCGTCAATTCGTTTCAAGTTTTCTTGTTCTCTTTTGATCTTTTCGTTGCTTCCCATTTAAAGATCCAAGGACTTGAATTCAATAAAACTTGACGCGTGTGGAAGCAAAGAGAAAACACAAAAGAGAATGCGATAAAAATGGTTTTCTAGACTTGACTTGTCTGAAAGGGGACTTAGTTCTCAACTTAACCTCAAGTTGAGCTCAAACCTAAATGTTTGTTGGGTGTTTTCCCCATTCTTCTTCTTCCTGATAATTATCTGCTAGAGAAGAAAACCTAACAAATATTTAGGTTTGAGCTCGACTTTAGGTTAAGTTGAGAACTAAGTCCCCTTTCCGACACGTCAAGTCTTGAAAGCAATTTTTATCGTATTCTCTTAAGCAAGACTTGACGTATCTGAAAGGGGACTAAGGTATTTCTCAAATCTCTAAAGTTGTTTCTCAACAGTACCTCAAATAGAGGATCATAGCGTTCTCAACAAAAAGGACATTTTTCTTTGTATGAAAAAAGAACTGTTTCTCAAGTTCACAAAATGCTAGTTCTCAACTAGAACTCCAATGTAATTCTCCAATTGGTCTCAAACATATCATTGAAATACTGAAATGGAAATAATAAAATACCTTATACCTTTTTGATTGAAACTACATACATAATAGATAGATATATATTTATATAGATAAGATGTGTAATAGATAAGTTAACGGCCCTTAATGCTTTATTAATCTAATTTTTTTCTCTTTCATTTTATTTCCGACAATTTCATTTTATAAATACATACTTAGTGCATCGATTAGTGCCTTTCAATAAAAAATTGATTATGCTAAATATAACTTTAATATAAATATGTACATATATAGCAAGAATGATTTCCGACTTTTCATGCATTTAATTATATGGGGTATTCACTACGGTGTCGTAAGTGTCGTATTGTTGTATGTCGTAAACTTTAAACGCCTAAAAAATATATTAGGGGATTCGAAAAGTACCATCAAAGTCATATTATGCATTCTCGCAGTGTTAAAAAATAGTTGGTTGTTTATTTAAGATTTTAAAGTTTACGACATACAACAATACGACACTTACGAGATCATTGTGAATCCCTCAAAAGTAATTAACCAATTTAAAAAAACAAAAACGACTCGACAGAAATGCAAAAAGCCATCGGCATTTCGTTGTCTAACAAGACAAAAAATCCATCTACATTGATGAGACAATTTCTGTTAAATTTCTTTTGCCTCGGGGCTCTGTTAAAATGAGCTTCTCTATATATTACGTTGTTTGCGTTCCTAGCGCCACCGTGTTGCCAATTACAGGTCTATTCTGCGCGTTACCGAAGATTTTGTAACCGGGAAATTTTATTACCAAAAAATGTTACCAGTTCTTGTCACCGCGATTCTAGAAACGTTGGTAATGCAGTTAAAATATTCAGCGATTCAGGTATGAAGAATTGTGCTAATTCTGGCATTGCGTATTTCACGGGGCAATACTTTGTTACCAGCTTATGAGATGGTAACAAAATTTACCGGTTACAAGAGTACACAGAATGCGAAAAGGGTTTAAAAATTGACAGGAACTTTATTTACCGGTTACAAACTTTTTATTACCAGCGCAGAATAGACCTGTTAGTGTATCAGAGCCATTAGCACCACCCTCGGTATCAGCGCAATGGCGCAACGCCGCGCTGCGTTACCCAGCACTATTGTGGTTCTCATAAGTTTGTTTAATAAGCCATTTAATAAAAAAGCTGTTGTTGATCAAAATATTAAAAATTAACTTCATAGTAAAAAGTTATTATATTTACATACACACGAAACTCTACAAGATCAAGTTCGTATGTACCAAAAATAAAACTAAAAGCATACAAGGTATTGCTGGAGTGACAGCCATACATACATACATAAATCTGGGTCGTTCCGGTTATGTAGACCCGACTGTCGTGGGAATGGTACCCCCTCATTCGTGTTATCAAGCTCACTTAGGTCACAGGAAACGTGCTCGGGGTCGGGCCAGAATAATAGGGGTGTTAGTTTAATTGTGAAGAGGTGGTTAATGCCATGCACGGTGTATCTACTCTGGTGTCGAGTGGGAAACCTTGGTCACCGGACATAGGAAGTGGAGTTTCCTGTTGGTTTATATAGGAGATACTAATTGAATGCAAAATTAATTATAGTATTCGTTTGGAAATCTGTTAAACACTCTTACCGTATAAAAAGTTTAGTAACTGTTTTAAATTCTGTTTTGTATTGACTGGGTAATCTAACGACTAGTTTACAAATCTTGATGTTACAACGTTTAGTTTACAAACGGATGTTACGATTCGAGCCCTGACTCATTTTGTTTCGAGAACCAAAAGTTATTCACTAACTATCTGGAAACAATAAAAACTTAAAATTTCCGACAATTGAAGCCGGGAAATCAGTTTTGGGAAAAAGTCGAACAGCTTAGTATCATTTCAAGCGGCAAGGAAGAATTATATTGCCAAGTTTAATTTTCTGCAGTTACTGAATCTTACGATTTTATAACACGATGATATGAAAGCAGATGATATCATAGACATGGCTGCGAGTATACCTAGGCATATTTCACTTCTACCTACCCATTACTTTGTGAGACAAATTTAAGTTACAGTATTATCATAAATATAAAATTTGAAACCCTTTGGAAGTAATTAAAATATACTTACATTTTGAGCCCGAAGTCCAGCATGTCTCACACGATCTTCATAAGTGACACAACTCAAAATTTGGCATTTTTGAAATTATGCACTAAAAATGTACACAGAGCTTTTATTTACCTTTCAGCTAAAGCTGGAGCAAATTTTTGTTATAATTTGTTGAAAAGACCTAAGGTAAAGTCTTCGTTGTCCATGTGATTAGCATGTGCTAAGAAATAGCCTTTCGCATTTTCTGACGAACGTGTTGTTGTTGTTGTTGTTGTTGTAGCAGCATACAAGTTCCCCAAAGGATTTTTGTGGAGTGTTGCTGGAGTGACAGTCCTTGGCCAGATATAAATCTGGATCGTTCCGGTTACGTAGACCCGACTGTCGTGGGAACGTCATTTTGTGTCATTTTGAGTTGTGTCACTTTTCCAAGGCCGCGTGCGATATTTGTACATAATCTATAGCTGATCGCAGATATTAAACACCAGTACAAGTATGTATTATACTAACCGGTACAATAAAACTTTCAAAAAATATTTGGAATTAATGAAACAGCCTTTAGTATTTAAAATGTTTCAGGGGTTTTACGCATTACAATTGTTTTAACTAAGTACCGCAAACTGACAACTTTCTAACCTTTTCCAACAACAAAACCACGATTGAGAGAATACAAAGGTTGCGCCGATCTCGGACCGCTATTCCTCTCTTAACGAATTTGACAGAATCGTTGTTTGCATGACGTCACACTTGTGCAACTTGTTTACGTTTTCCTTG